CATATGACCGTAGCAAACCAAATCACTTTCTACCTGATCAAAGAGGCAAGATGTAAAATATATATACCATTTTTTAGGGATTTGCCAGTGAATTTTATCGACTCGTTGGCTTGACTTTTGGCTATGACGATGATAACTTGCTCTGATGATGTTCGTCATATGACGGACGAAAGATTAGCATCTTTTCACCGGAATCGAAGGAGATTGCTTCGGAAACAGCATCAGCATGAATGTTCCAGTAAAGCCAATCGAAAGTTGATCAAGAGGAATCCGCCTTCGTCTTCTGGTGGAATCGACCTTCGAAACTCTTCACCAAAAACTTTCACTCGAAATGGGGAAAATTCAACTGTCAATTCTTCCTCAGCATATGCATCCCAGACTGAGTACCGCTCTTGGTCAGCCGACCAGTTTTGACATTAAAATATATACACTTTAAGCACCAGTATCCATGAGTATACCGGTTTTTCCATGGACTCTGGCATAATTGGACAGACGAGGATGTGTGTAACTGAAAGTGTTTTTCATGAGATGCCAAAATGGACAGATGATCGGCATGCCCACGCCCTGGCGAGTCTGTCTGGTGGTCATGTCGTCATTTTGGCTTGAGCATCTGCTCCGGCATTTCAAGCCCTCCTCTTTCTCTCGGTACCCTTCGTCCACTCTGTCCGCGTGTATCATGTTGCCATGCCTCAGCCTCCAGTCTCCATCAACCACGTCCATTCTGCATGCATCTCTGCCTCTGGCTCTCTGGTCGTCCCGACTTCATCGTGTGCCGGAGGCTTCACATGTTTAGATTGAGATCGGACAGTTTGTCCGAGACGTGGGGGGAAACACGATGAGCATATCGAGAGACCGACTGTGAGTAGGCATGCAATACGCCGACCAGGCTTGAGTTTGCCTCACGACTTCAACGTGAGAACAGACCCCAAAAGACAAATCTGAATTACCCGAAAGCTGGCCTCCTGCCTTGGTAACACCGGCAGTCTTGAGGACTGGTCTTCGGTCCTTCTGTCCAAGGCCTCAAAAGACTCTCCAGGTTCCGCTACCAATCTCACAAGTCCGCACATCAGCACACATGGACGCCCATCTATCAATCATTCTGATTTTTCCACTTTTCCCTACCATCCCTCTTCGTCTAGTCCTCCACCTGTCTGCTGTCTGCTGTCTGCCTCTAGCCCTATTTTTCCCACTTTCTGGTAAACTTTCCACCAGTCGTCCACTGATTTATTCGGCTCTCCTAATCGGCCACTTTGGTGGGCCTCAAATGTGTTTGAACATAAACTAGTGTGTTTAAATGAAGTGCTGATCCGGCCTTGAAGACGGTAATCGTCTGTTCCCTTTTTGTCCATGACGAGCAGATGGATTATGTTCACTAGGCCAGGAAGGTTTGTCTCTGAAGGCAGTCTTGTGTGTGCATTGCTTTGACGCCAGACATTCGGAGATGGAGACAAAGCCAGCCCGTCTGCCTAATGGATATCTATACTCAAATTGGTGTGGATGCAACTAACTCGCTCTGTTGAGGAATTGAGTGAAGTGACAAACAATCACGTCCCCGGGACTTCACTAACTCTAATCTACGAGACACATAAACAGGCACAGACAACGCGAGGCGTAGGGCGAGTGAGAGCGAAGAGTGCGCACAGGCTAAGCGGAACCGCAAACATGGACGACCCGAGTCCGAGTTCGAGCCCGAGTCAGAGCCCGAGTCAGAGCCCGAGCCCGAGTCCGAGCCCAAGCCAGCCAACCGTTGGGACGTCCTCCAGCTTGACCGATGGCAGCAGAGTCTATTCGTCAC